TGCATTAATGTGCACCGGTCGATTCGAGGCTTTCACTGGAGTGATGCAGCGAGCAAGCTGTTGGCCGAAACGCTATTCATTCCAGGAACGGCAACGGCGTTGCGAAACTGGTGTTTGTGGCAAAGAGGCTATGAATATGAAGAGCGGATGAATCAATAGTGATGTTGATTTGTGTATGTAAATATATTTGTGGGTGGCGTGTTGGTAGGCACCCAGATACCAGGGTCGTTCAAGTGCGTTTCAACCTGGCCAGCTCGAATCAGAATCTAGCCTGGACTCGGATTTATCGTGTGTAGATTGAGGTCCAAGCTTATAGTTAACTTTTGATTTCCTTTTGCGCTTAAAAGAGTTGATGTGTATCCGGGTGCTTTGTACAGATTGACCTGGTGATGGCGGTTTGTTTTGAAAGACTGGCTGATTCACCGAAGGGTGCATTCTGAATGGAAAAAATTGCAAAAATTAGGTTCAGTATGCAGCAGTCGGTTTCTGATAGTGATAAAGTGATGTGAGTTATGGGTGTGGTGCATAAATGACCATCAAATACTTGTCTCCCTTCTCAAGCATGTATGTTTTGCGCACGATTGCTGAGAATGTCTGGTTGTGAACGATGATCGATTTGTATTGTTCTAGAAGCGGTCATTGATGATGCGCAGCTGTCGTGGCATATTTGTACCTCAACTTTTATTTTCATAGTGTTTGTTATGAATACCTTCGGAGTGATTGAGACCAGTAATATTGTTTCATCATGTGCTTTAATTCATTTTATGTTCAACAATTTGAGGACAAGAAATTAATGGGTGACACCTCGCACGGCATGATGAGCCGCTCAATAAATGCTGGTTCACAGCGCAAGAACAACTCAGAAGAAGTGGCAAAGCGCAGGGCAGCACTACAAGAACAACTTGAGCAACGGTTTTCTTATTGCTTTCAAACAACCATTATCGCAGATTGATTTGCAAGAAAATTTACCTGCTCCATTGCTGTATAATTTTTCATGATGATCTTAATCGTTATCGAAAAGAGAAACGTAACTCCATAAATCACATCAGTAGTTATTCAGTATTTTTTCATTGCAAAATAATATTCTAATAGAACTGGTATTCAGTACATTTATTAAGGACTTTTCCGGTATCATATCCTGTTTAGTAAATGAATTTTTTCGAATTGTTTCTTTCAGGCGTGAACAATCAAGACGTCAACAAGAAGAGAGAATGGCGAAAGCAGCGGCTCAAAAAGAAGAGGTACTTTTTGTTAATATTTATGTGGTACCTGTAAAGTTTTTTACATGACTTCTGAAATCATTAAAAGATGAATTGGTTGAACTGGCTCACGGTAAAAAATTTAATGTGCTTGTCGCGACGGAGCGCGAAAGAGACGATTCATGAGAGACACCAAAATGATATGTGAAATCGACCTTTAAATGTAATCTGTACGTTAGCTGTATATGTATACGATGTTTCAAAAGTTGCATTTGAATTTGTATAGTTTTTCTATTTGTATATTTTTATTTTGATGCATTTGAAATTTGTATCAAAATTCATCAATCAATTATAGCGTTTGGCGCGACATCGCGAAATTCAGCAGAGAGAAATGCTGCGTGCGAAGGCTGTGCTGGATCGAAGGGCTCAAGTGTTGGCAGAGGCTGAAGAAAAGAAGGCTGTAAGTGACATTACTTTTACTGCTGTTATACGTTCAATTCGCATACTTCCAATAGATTGATAAATACTTCGTCTAATACAGCAGTAGTAAACCACATTTAATATGCATGTCTGCTATATGGTCTGTGTCTGTTCACGTGATATGATAACATAATTGCTTATGTCCATGATTCGAATGCTTGTTCCGTTCCGTTTATAATGATTCGATCAAATAAGATATTAATCTTATGAAGTGACCCATTAACTGTTTAACTACTTCTAGTTGTTTAGCTATTGTTCACTTTTTGTGGTAAATTTTGCAGCGAATCCTTCAAAAAAGTGAGCGAACTATGCAAATGCACACCAATCGCAAATGCGCATCAAGTTTTTCTAACAAATCGGTTGGTTCATGAATTGACATAAACAAACACACTCATTAAAAACTATCATCGTTATCATACGAAACTTGTTCAGTTCATCTTTATATTTCGGGATATGTTCATTAATATAAACTAGACTATTATCTTTGTTGTATAAACTGAAATGAGAGTCGATGAATTACACGGCAATATTTTGCACATGAACGCGTTAGAGCTCACTAGTTGCATTATCAAGTCTTTTTATTTTCAGTTTTTACAAGCATTGCTTCATATTGTTCGCTTTTCTTAAATTTGCTGTAAATTCAAAAATATGAGTATCAGTCCATCGCGGCTATGGTTAGAAGAATAATTTGATGATATTGATACTCCAATAATATATGAAGTAATATAATTTGATAAGCTGTCGGTGTTCTGTCTACTTGGTGGAGACTGGAATGTTGCTTTTCAGCAACTAAAGGCATTAAAAATAACTGAATGATATAAAGTATAAGGGTCTTTTAACGTTTTGTTATCGTTGTGCTTGCTGTTGTTTTGTTTTCTTTTTCTTGTTACAAATAACATCTTAATTTTACTTGTACTTCGCTATGATACAAATTATATGCTGGTCCTTGTTTCATGAGTTATTGCATGTTTACTTATCGTGTTTCAATAGATTAATGTTGTTGTCATTATAACTAACATTGTTCCAGGCGGTTCTAGCCAAAGCGCATGCGGAGTCTTCACGTCTCGCTCAACAAAAAACACGACCAGTTTTTGCGTTCGGCAGTAGCACACCTCGTGAGTTGGGTTATTTAACACAGCTTACCAAAGAGCAAAAGGTATCAGATGTTCTCTAAAAATACTGTTGTTATGGTTTATCTGTTATACTGTGGTACAATCCGTATGTGTTTTAATGTAATAATTGATCGATACGACTGCACCTGAATTCAGGTATATAATCGCAAATTACAACCAGATGCTACAGCAGTGCTACCTGCTTCTTCTCAGTCGAGTAGTCCGTTTGGTCGCTTGCCTACAGGTCGCATTTATAATAATAGAAGTCCAATGACAAAGAGTCTGTACGGGACACTGGTTAATGAAGCAAAAACACGTTGTAAGCCCTTACCAGCTAATATGACTCAATCAATGGTTTCACCGAAAGCAGCTCCACCACAACGACAACTACTTAACAAATCATTGAACAAGGGTGATTATTTATCTCATCTTATCAACTGCTTCTTCCTTCCTTATTTTCCCCATTGGAATCGTTTCAAAATCCTTCAAACTTTTCTGAACTATTAGTTTGCTTTAGATTCACGAGCTTATTCACAAGAAGGGAACCAAAACCTGGTTAAGAAAAAGGAGGATGGTCGTCTTTAAAAAAAAAGAGGGAAAGTAGTTTTAATTAAAAGATTTTGGAGTTTTGTGGTTATTGTTGCAGCACAAAAAAGAGTATCAGAGGGTCGTAATAAAGCAACAGCAACATTAGCATCAACACCACCGTCGTCGAATATCACGGTAAATACAGCAAACAAATACAAGTCTTCAAACAGTCAGTCGAAATCGCCTTCATCAATGACACATCCTGCAAAGGCTGTTGCCATTGTGCATGATAAGTAAGTAGCAATTAGCGATTAGTCATTTCTTGTTTTTGTTTTTTTTTTGATTGCATTCGTTCAGTACCAGTACAATAACATAATTTGTTATTGTTACATGTAAATCAGCCAATCTTTTCACAAGCTTTGCAATCTCTTTCATTCAGTTCATATTCCCATCCAACAAAGCTTATTCGTATTGTATTCTCGTTTACTTATTCATCATCATCCTTAAACTTTAACCTAAAGTTGGTTTTTTGATTGTTATTCGTGATGAACATTTAGTTTTAATGAGTATTGATCTTCGACCCAATTTCTTATGTATTCTGTAATTTGTGTTGTATCATTCCCTTTATGAAACACTTATTTTGTTTGCAGAAGGATTCGAGAAGAGTCAAAAGAAGGGACTGTTAATAATACCAATATTGGTATAAAGGCAAGCGCAAATGTGAGTGCTGTAGCCGATTCAGTAATATCGCCCAAAGTATCGCCACCGAATATCACTAATGACTCATCAGTTGAAAATAAAGTTGCAATGAATGATGATAAGCAAAAGGCGGTTATCGAAGCACTAATTGTGGATGCAGTTAAGAAAGAACAACAGCAAGTCAATGAAAACGTGGAGGTCGTTCACGATTCTCCGAGCAATGAGAACGTACACGTGAATACTGTGCAACGGGGTGCGGTAATCAAGGTTGGTATGATTAGCATCATTCTCATTCGTTTCGCATAGAAATGTTTATGGTGAATGGTGACCGGTTACGTTACATTGCTAAACTTATGCTGTACGTGATGCGTTCATGATGTACCACTATAACGAATTTTTAAGAAATATTTTCATCTGTTGCACGTCGTCGTCTCAGAAACCATGCAGTATGTTATATAAACAGTAGTACGTTCAAAAACCATGTTCAGAATGTTAATTGCTTGGTGAAGCATTTGATCTTATTCTCATTGCTGTATTTTATTTTGCTCAAATATGTTATGTAATTTAGGATATGGATGAAAATGTGATGGATGAATCGAGGATACTGCAAATGACAAATGATACATATACTGAACCAGAACAGGTACAGATGATCAGTGAATCACTTGTGGTTGAAGTGAATGGTAGTGGTGGAGAGAAAGATGAACAAGAAGAACGAAAGATTACGTGGAAGGTGGGAATGGGTGGTGATAATGATATCGATGATGGTAATAGTGATAATAATAATAATAATACTAATAATAATAATAATGAAGATGGAAATGCTCTATTGGTAAGTTCTGGTAGCTGTCCGAGTGTGGGAGTGGAGAAGCAGAGTTTAGATGAACAGAATGCTAACGAGGTGTTGGCAACAGGCAATGATGGTGAAAGAGCGATGCATACAGATGGTCATTCATCGCCGTCATTCGAATTAAGACGTGATAAAGAAAACAAACATGATAAAATGATGATGAACAACCATTCGGAGGCAAGTGGTAGTAGTACGGTTGACAAACTTCAACATTTCTCATCCTCATTATCAAATGTTGATCATGATGATAATCAACAACATTTATCATCAGCAACTCGACTTGACCAACTCCAACTTCGAACTGAACAAGAAGCACGTGAACGGGAACAACGTAAAGCTCGTCTGGCTGCCATCATGAAACGTACACGTGGTACGCCAACAGCCATTGTTGCTCCTACACAAAATATTATCACTGACGAGGTTTGTTCCTTATCATTTCGAATAATCTTCATTTCTTGCGTATTCGTTCCTTCTATATTCATCACTATCTTCTGTTATAATCTATGATAACACCATCGTCATAACATTAGTTAATTTATGAATGCTATCAAGTTTAATATTCATATGCGCTCCCAAATATTAATGGCTCTTCGGTTTGATTGTGTCATGAAATAACTGCTATGCTGTTACTGAATTGATTGATGTTTCGTATCCTTTGTCGTTGATTCCTTTATAATTCACTGTTCACCGCCTAATATTATCTTCCATCTTCTACATCAACTGGCTTATTATAATCTTTATTGCATCAATAGAAAAAAGAACATGTAATTGAAAACATTGCACTTGGCAAAAGAGGACTTCAACCTGTAACATGATATGGATATAAAAAAGAAAATACTTTAGCAAGTTTAATTCAGGGGAACCTGAAAAAATTGCAGTAAATGAGAAAAGTGATTGCAGGGTAGTTTGCACGAGCCATTGAAAGATGTGGAGCATACTTCAACTGTAAATGTGAATGATAATGCTACACCACATGTTCTCAGTCACACTGCTGCTTCTGTTCTTCAGGTTGTTTTCTTTTCATTGTTTGATTGATTCGGAAATTTTCGCGTAAAGAGAATGTGCAATGTTAACAACGGTGCAACGGTAGTATCATACCAATCTGCGTGTATTTTTATCTATTTGGAAATCAATCTTTCATAATTATTTCAATCATCAACTTGCAGAAGTTGGCTTCATCAAATCCACGTCTGCTATCCGTACTTCAGCGGAATGGCTCGAACCCCTCGTTGGCTGATGAGCTAACGACGGCTGACCCGTCAATGACGCTTCCTGGTCAGCCGGATGAGCCCTCTTCTCCTCATGAAGCAAATTCCACCGCACCCCTTCGTCCTATTGACTTCCACTCAGATGTCAGTCACACATCTCTTGCAATGAAGTGATCTGTAATGTCTGTCAGTCAGTTCATCTCTTTATCTAAAACTATCTATATCTTTTGTTTCTTTTTACTGTTTATCTTAAAGGGTGATTTCATCGAAAGGTATGTATGTATAATATGTATGCATTCTTTAATGTTGTCTTTTTTGAGCGATTATGTTTGTTAAAGCAGGTTTTTTTTTGATAAAAATGCTCACAGTACTCTTTAAAATGCTTCGACGAGGGTTTGATCAATTCAAGGAATCGTCATTTAAGGTTTCTCAGTCTAGTCTTGCATTTTCGCGTTTATTAGGCAACTATCTCCCACCCGCTTTACCTTGAAATCACAACCGCATCTATATCACGTTTTTTCGTTACCATGTAGAAGTCTTGACCATTTAAATTCGCGTATTAATCTGCTCTTCAAGCAAGCAAGCATTTGAAATCCAGTTTCGTCCAATGAAAAATTCACCATATTCTTCGAATAAGTAGGAGGCGGGAATGAGGCGCATGCCAAAGAAGTTAGCGCATCACTGAATTGAAGCATTGCAACTGAATTGATGATATATAACAGTCAATTATGTTCTCTCGTTTTCTTGATATAGTGCAGGAATTGTAAATTTAATCACTGAATATGTTTGTGCTGCAAATTTGATTGATTGAATTATAATCATTGCAGGAAGCAATTAAGAAATATCCGTATCATATGCGTATTCATCTATGAGGATATGTTGTAATATTTCGATATGGCCTGCACTGCTCTAATTAAGTGTAATAATTTCTTGTGGCGTTTCGCCATTCAAATTTCGCCCTTATACGAGACAACTTAAAGTGATATTTTAATGGAATGAGTTGCTCTGCAACAGTGGTACTCAACCTTTTTTCCTCCCGTACCCCCTAGAAAATTTTTAGATATCCTCGCACCCCCTACAGCAAACACTGTGTATCTCTCATCCACTAAAGTGTGTGTGTGTGTGTGTGTAGTGTAGATAAGTGCATACCATTAGAATACGTTCTAGCCTTTCAAAAATACATACGTTAAAGTCCATCCGAGCTTACTTTTTATACACATGCATGCGTTGAAATCCGCCCTCATCTACTTTAATGTATAAAAAATAAGGCCTTATCTCGCACCCTTAGAATACCATCTCGTACACCTTGTGGGTGCGAGTACCCCTGGTTGAGAAACCCGGCTTTATAAATATTAGAATACGAATGGTACCAAATCATTGTTTCAATGTATGAGTGATCATTATGCGTCATCATTTCCATTCTCATTTGAAGAGAGGCCATTGGATGAAGACTATTCTTTGAGTAGTGAACAAGGTCCCTCTCTATGTACGTTTCATTCTTGTTCCCAACGACCAATTTCAAGCACCAAACGTTGAGGTGCCTCTGGACGTGATACTTTCACACGATTTTTTTGTGTTCTTCGTTGGTTTCACATCATTTCGGCCGTTCGTTAGAATGGTTTTTGTGTATGTTTTTCGATTACTGCAATCGTTTTCTTTCATTTTCAGTTCTTAAAATGAGTTTTATATTTATTTCAGTTGATAAAATAAAGAACACGATTCACCTTGATCTGCGATTGTTTCCTTTTACTGGTCTTTTATAAGTGTATAATCGATGCGCTTTGATCTGATTGAGCCCTTGAAAGAACGAGTCAAGGAAATTGCGCTCATTATTCATTTCATCATCTTTTCGTTTTACGTTATGTTCTGTCGCTTTGTATATGCCCATTGAGGTTTATTCGTTAAATTTTCAAGCTGAAATCGTGAAAAATGAATTCAATCAATTCGTTTGGAGTGGTATTGTTTGAAATTACATCGTTCGAAACAAATCTTTATGATTCGATTCATGATATGATCAATTTTAACAGCACTAGATTTGAATTATTTGTGATAAAGGATGTTTTTTGATTCATAATTTTTGATTTATGAATATTAATCCTAATGATAACGTTATGCTGTGCGTTGGATGATAACGATCTGTTGTACAAATAATGCACCACTCGTCGATGGTGGTCATTAATAATGTGTTAGTGGAGTTTGAATTGAATTGATCAAATCAAGTGTTTTGTCTTGTCCTGTTTATTGTAAGCAGTCATTATGATTCTTTATTGTGATCCTTTCTGAATTGGATTAAGCGAATTCAAATCGAAGTTATGAAAATAAATTTTATTGTTTGGTCCGTGTCAATGATCGTTAATTCTGTAATATCTGAACGCTGATTTATCTCTATTATCATTAGTATTAGTATCATTGCCATTAATTGTTACTGCTGTGCAGAGAAACAATGATGTTGGTACGATTTTTTGCATCAAATTCCGTCACTCAGTAATTCAGAAGTAACGATACCATCGTATTCCTTCACCTTCGTCGTTTTGTTAAATAAATAGAAGACCTTTCGTAGTGTAAGTCTCAGCGACATTAGATAATAATAGATAAAGGAGTGTTCAAAAATAACCTGACATCGGGAATATAGTAATTTTACGTGACAGTCTGACAATAATAGAATAGGAATGTGGTAATGGAGTAGTTTTTTCGATTTATATTATTGAGTTTATGCTGTTGGTAATGTTGAGTTGTTGCGTATCGATTGAAGTATACTTCTATGTGTTTAAAAAATGAAATGTTCGCAATCTTAAAGGAATTCATTTCGAAACGGATATGTTCTCATTCAATAGCAGCTGACTGCATATGATTGATGCATTCGTTCGGGGGAGATGAAGGGAATACGAATAAGGGAGGGATAGTCGTTTTGCGAGTTGAGTTTCTGTATAGGTTATGATATAATTATGACAATGATGTGCTACTATTAGTAATAGTAGAATAGAATCGAGTGAGACTCATCAGACAGCAAAGATTTGATGAGAAAACGTGAAACTAAAATAACTTATATTGCACGTTAACAACACTGTGTGTTCGTACGAGTTACACGCTAGTTGACAGTATTTCGCCTCTTATAACAGCTACCCACTAGAGCCGTTTCAGTTGGTTGCAATAAAGTTGCATATAGATCATGCTTTCAGAACTAATTTTACTTTGTTTTGTTTCATAAATTAGCTAATATTCAATTAAGACTATTCGTTATTCGATAACTATTCGTTCAATGATTTTATTTGCCACGGACTTCATTTTGTATACTTCTTAGTCTTTTTTTTTGAAAATCACGTTTCCAAGATAATTGTTGATGAGACGGGTTTGGTCACTTAATTTAATAGAATTGGGTTTCGAGCTGTTTCCAGTTTGAAGAATGAATAATTATTCTCGGATCATTCGAGTGGTGATAATTGAACATATCATGTAAGATTGATTAAAG